TGTTTGTGCATAACACCCAGTGCTCCATGCAGAATGTGCCCTCCTCAATACCCACCACCAGGCTAACCCATCCTCCCATCCCCTCCCCTCTAGAACCCTCAGTTTGTTTTTCAGAGTCCATCGTCTCTCATGGTTCGTCTACCCCTCCGATTTCCCCCGCTTCATTCTTCCCCCAGGAGAAGAGATTCTTAAGGAAAAGACAAGGAGGAAAAAAAAAAAAAACATGAGTGAAAGTTCAATTTTTATAATGTTCTGTGTGTCTGCTATTAATCTATACAATGGACAGGGAGCGCAGATGGAAGGACGTGGTCCTGGGAGCTGGGAGGCCCAACACCACTACCCCATTGCTCATTCAAATGTGCCATTCCCCAGGGCTCCTGCGGCATTGTTCCCAGCACAATTGCTTTCAGAATTCTAACTATTCTTCTCCTCCATTGGGAAATTCTATGACTCCATAGGAAGCTATGTGCCTTATCACTTCTGGGACTACACCATGGGACCAAGAGGTCACACTGTCCCACAGAACCCAATCCCCAAGCCAGAGGCTCACATTCCAGGCCTTGTAAAGACTACATTTTGTTTGGAGAGCTCCGGAGGCAGGTGGCAGAAAGAATCTGCAGAGAAAGCTACCAGGGTGGATGACACAAACCCTTAGAAATGTGCCCCTCAGACCAGCACCCAGTTCTCTAGCCGTGGCCTGGCCACCACTCCCGAGGACCCAGGCACCTTCACGACAGCTGACTCCCTGTTCAAAGTCCTCTCTGGTGACCAACAATTGGCGCAGGGACCTTGGATACTGAGAGTTGAGTGCTAAGTGCTCTGTGCACTAAAATCCTCACATTTGCCCTTGACTCCCCAGGCACCCTGGGCACAGGGCACGCACATAACTGCTCGGGAAATACTCACTGAGAAAATGAACGAATAGACAACCACCCCCAGAGTCAGGACTGGCATCCCTACTGGACGCACCAGAAAACTGAGACAGGGGATTCATCTCTCCAAAACACTGCCATTAGTCAGGGACAGAGTCGTGATTCAAATTCAAATCGCAGGCTACCCAACTCCAAAGCCACCGCTCTTGATCTTGACTCACGCACAGTGCTCAGCAGTGTATGAAGCTAAACACGGGGTATCTTGTTTAGTCCTGAACGCAAGCCTGTGAGCATCACTGTTACCCCGTTTTATAGTCGCAGAAACAGGATGAAGTGGGGTTCCCATGGCAAGCAGCTAGGAAGCCACACAGGAGGGAATTTTCTGACTGGACAGCCAGTCCTCCTGCTAGAATAATCCAGAAAGGGAGAGACCTTGAGATCTCACTTCCCGATCCTAGGAAAAACTGCTTTGACCAACTGCTTCCTCCGTATTCTATGGACTAACACAGAAAGAGGTCAACGACTCGCAAAAACAAGAGGTCATCCTGACGTGACTTCGAGGATCCTCTCAAAGGACAATGGTAACTAATGGTGGCCGCCATGATCTGCAAACAGTGTTAATCCAAACTCGGAGCAAGGCAACAGGCTCCCTGTGATGCACCCCACCCCCTCCACTGAGCGCAAGAGCAACCAGGAAAGGGGGCGATGCAAGGTCGTTCCCATGCTTTGTCCGGGGACCAGGGATGAGGCACTAACGTCACTGGTGGCCAATTAGAGGGATCCCCTGGTGTCAGGAGTACTGAGGCCATTTCATAATGAAACCCATGCAGCGAGCTCCGTTTATTTTGAAACCGTATTTGCTTATTTTGCAGCCGTGATCAAAAGGATGTTGAGAGTGCTCCGCAGGAGGTGCTTGAACCCCGTGGGCCAGGAGAGCTTGCTTCAACTGCAGCAGCAGCCAGCAAAAACACTCTCCGTGGCAGTAAACCCCCTCACCGGACGGTCTGCTCCTTTCCCAGCAGCACATACCACCACAGCCAGCTGCCCAGTTCCACGGCTGGTTCGGGGGCTGGGAGGGTCGGGAGAGAAGGAGAAGGCACGGCGCGGCAGGGACAGAAGGCTGGCAGGGAGAGAGTTCCAACTGTTACATAACCTGGGGACCCACTGGCAACTCAAGCCCTCGGGAGTCAGACACACACGGGCTCAAACCCAGCTCCACTTACTGCTGTGTTACCTCGGGTTGGTTACTTAACTTCTCTGTGCCTCGCTTTCCCTATCTGCGAAATGATGTCAATAACGGCGCTCACCTCATAGGGTTGTGAAGATTAAAGGTAAGCGATAGCAGGCAAACATGACAGGACATACACACGCAATATGTTACGGCTGTAGGTGTTTTTACAGTGATGATTGCGGACTATGAGCTTCCTGAGGACAGGGACTGTATTTTGTCATCTTTTTCTCCCAGCACGAAGATCGAGGCCTGGCATGTAGTTGGAGATCGATAAATGCTGGTCGAATTGAAGGACTGGAAGGGAACTGAGATGACTCCCTGCATCCACCAGCCAGGGCAGGACGCAGCCGCCTGGCTCCAAGACTGCAGCCTGGGGCACCTTGAGCAACCCCCTCCCCCGCCCTGTGTATCAATCCACCAGGCAAGAGCTTTACCTTAATATTGCAGTTGTCATCCAGCAGGATGTTTTCCAGCTTCAAGTCCCTGTGGACCACGCCGTTCTGCAATGAGAAGACAGGCGCGGACTTGAATGGGGCGGCCGGCACGAGAGACAGAAAGAGGGAGCGGGAGGGTGAGCAAGGGGAGACATTTGACCGATGAAAGAAATGCGCCAGCCCTGGTGGTCTTTGCCTCCATCCTTCAGGGCTTCTCTTACTGTCATAAGGCTCCCCGCCAGCCAGCGACCAGAGACAGGAGAGCATTAGTCACTTGCTGTGCGGTGAAGGGAAAAATGACTGGAATCCATTCTCCCCCAGAGCCTGTAAAACAGCAGGGGGATTCTTGGTCGGAATGTAATTCCACTGTGTGAAAGCAATAGAGTCACGGGCGGCGGCGAACAATGTCTGTCTGTGCTGGGCTTCTCAGGGAAGAAGCAGATTTCTCTGCTGGAGACTCAGAATGTGGGGCTCACGGGCCTCTCTTGTCTGTCTGTCTGCCTGCCTGCCCCCTCCCCCCCCCC